GAAATCGTGAGATCTTAGAAACCGTTCAACTTTACGGCCAAAAATTTATCTTCTTTTTTATCATAAAACAAGCTATGTTTCCTCCAAATTTCAAACCCCTACGACCTTTTTTCGCAAAAATAAGAATAAAAAACGAAGAAAACGGTTTTTCCGGTTTTTCTAGGAAAATTGGAGGTTATGTGAAAATAGTGCAAATACAAAAGTTGCTCATTTTTTTAATCTCTATAACTTTTATATTGAACATTTTCGTCTAAAATTAATAGTTTTGCCACAATTTGCAAAACACCACTTTCCAGCAATTCAGCTGTTTTAATTATTTTTTCCCAATTTCTATTCATTTCACCTGCCTGGAAAACCTGGTTTCGCCCGATAACTAATTTTTTTTGTAAAAACATATTATATAGCCTGGCCCTGGTCTAACAGCTAAAAATGAAAAATTCTATTCTACACGCTGGAATTAAAATATTCGGTAAAAAGATACTGATGTCAATTTTCAAATTACACGCCCTGTACGTGATTAATTAAATGTGTAAAAAATTCAACAGCACTGTATCGAAATAGCTTCGTTAAATACATGGTATGCATACAGGGACATGTCACTATAATTATCGACGTTAAGAACCTACTGATTATTGCTTACACTACATAATTACACGACTTTGCTTCGAGAACCGCTATTGAATTGAATGCATAAAGGGGCAATAGGAATTTGGTACTTCATGCTCATTTATAAAACAGGCTTCCACTTTTTATACGTGTGAATTTAAAAGATGTTCGAACCAAGCGCAATTGTCTCATTACGTCTCGTTCATAGCTAGAGGTCACATCATGACGCTTTGGAGTGAAATAAATGAGAGCTTTTTCGGAGTTAACATTGTAATTCTGAAAATTGCCGGTGTGTGGATACCCGATCAAGGGGAAGGTTATGCATTGAAATGGTTCTATTGGATATACAATGTGGCGACAAATGGATTCTGTCTCGGAATTTTTATGCCCTGTGAATTTCTGGCGTTTGGACGGTCGAGACATAGACTGGAGGACGCAATAAAGAACGCCAGTGTGGCGGTGACTCACTTACTCGGTGGGATGAAGGTGTTAGTTTGGTTAAAGAGGAGGAAAGTTATTCTTCGCATGATCAGCGAGCTTGAAGAGCAAGCTCTTCAGTATGACGAGATAGACGACTTTCAGCCTCGGAAAACGCTTATCGCGGATAAGAGAACTAAAAACATTACGACCTTAGGATTTCTAACTTTGGGAGCTTCCGTGTCGATCACAGCACTTTTGGGCGCAACCGCCGTTTTGCTAAGAGATTACGAACGGCACGAAGAGATAACCGTGGACGCCAGTAATGTTACTGCGTACAAATACACGCAGCCATTACCGTACTGGGCATACATGCCGTTCGATTACACAACGTCTCGCACGCGCTTCTTCTGGGCTCTCGTTTACAATTGCTTTACGGCGTATCAGCAGGCTTGGACCATTGTAGGTATGATATGGAGGCGTTGTCGTTTCAAAGGTAAATCTGGGTTTTCAGGTATTGATACTCTTTTTACTGCGCTCGTAAGCAATATAGGACTGCAACTGACAATTTTGCGAGGGGCTTTTAAAACCATAAGATCAAGATCGGTTAGGTCTGTAAAGATGGCTAATGAACTGTATCCACCAAATCCAACGTTGGTGGATGAGGCAATGGACAGGGAAATGAAGAAATGCGTTAGGCATCTTCAGCTCATTTTTGAGTAAGTAATTTAGTCGTAACGGTCATCGCAAACGTCTCTGTCTGGTTGCTTGATTTGCAATGTCTTTGAATTCGAGTGCTTTTGGTACTGACCAACTCATTACTTTAAAATGTACCGAAATATGTGTTGCACCGACCAGTTCCCTTGAATCGAACGATCAAATCTAACCTTGTTACTCTCACTGGTACAAAAACTAGCTTTACATGCTCTTTGTTCTAGAAAATCTGCTGCATCGGACCTTCATTAATACAAGGAAACAGAAAATTATAAGTTATTTATGTTTCTTTCACATACCAAGATACTAACTCATAATTTTGGGTCATGCAATATTCAAATAAAATCAAAAACTCTATGAACTACTTCTACGGCGCTAATACATTTGTACACTTAAATGGGAATAGGTTTTTAAACTAAACTCCAATATGATAAATAGTAATTCATCCAACTAATTTAAAATTACCCTTCCTCGGGTTTCGTTTTATTAGAATACACATAAAGCAGAAACCCCGTTGATCAATTTTACACATGGCCGTCATTTTTTAATTTAAACAAAAAATTAAATTTGCTATTTCACAACTAAATGTCTACCCAGATTTCGTTACTGACTTTGGACGACTTCATTTTTCCTTAGGTCAAGGTTCGTCTTTGTTGATATGATAAGTAATCAACTTCGGAGGTAAGAGTTCATCAACTTCGCCGTGTGAGCGGGGTGTTACCTTGAAATTAAACAGTACGGTGCCGTACAGTTTGAAAAATCTAAAACGGCTTAAAACGCATGGGAGCAAAGAGAGAAATGCACAAGACTCGCTCGAAATCATGCTTACCTTGTTATAACATTCCCAAAAATTGTGGAAATTAATCTCGGATTTCCCAGGCAGCCAACGTACTCGGTTGGTTCACAAATGAACACCTCTTTATTTAATTACCAGACTCTCTGACGGTCTAAAAATCAGACACTAATCTTAAAATTCAAGTTAATTAAGCGCACTTCATTTGACAATAAATTTATTCCGCATTTGGTTTTCCTTATTAACCTTAAAACACGACGCTAGAAACTAAAGCACTTACTTTCACTTTCTCCTAGTATATAACTACATAGGGCCAGAAACTATAGTTTCTCGTAACGAACCGCCCGTTTGAGTGCGTCAACGTACCGGCTGTTCTTTAAAGCTGGTAGCTTTCATCAATGTACGGTGCGTTCTTTAAAACTGGTATAATTCCTTATACGGAAACGGAAACTGCTAACTTTCCCTAGGTTAAACTTCGCGTTCGCCATTAACTTTCTTAAAACGTTTTCTACACTTAATCTGTCGCTGTGCTTCCACTAAGTTGTACTTTTTTTTAAAGAAAATAACCAATTTTTTCCACAATTAACCTTTTAACGAAGGACATGTACTCTAAGGCGATTGTTGTGCGTCTTCTTTCTCCTTTTGCACTGACTTCCCGATCTAATTCTCGTAGTCTCAATTTTAGCGGACGACCTGTTCGCTATAGCGGCGAAAATGGACGGCCCGTCTCAATCCACAACACTGTCGCTAATAAACTGATTCGCGATCCTAAATGGAAAGATCGAAAGGTCTCGAAAATGTTAAATGCTTTTATGTGTTTTTATGTATCTGATAAAATAAGGGGAGAAAAGAGAGTTAATTTAATGTGGTCATTAAAAAAATCCTAAAACTTTTTTATTCCATAGCTTTTCATCAACTTGGCCTTGTTTAGAGTGCAATATGTAGAAGCGCTATGGTAGAGCGTTGGGCTATAAAGCCGGAGATCGAGTGTTCGAACCTGGGTTGAGGTAATAATTTTCATCTGTGACAGAGATTGGAATTTCTTTAGATCATTTTCGAGCATTATGCCGGCTACTCCGAATTAGACTTTCCTACAGTTTTCCTAATTCGTAAGGTAAATACCGGAGTGTTGAACAACGTAAGACCTCCTGCAGAGGCACCTCTAAAAAGCAAGTTGAGGGCCCAGAACAAGAGAGGGATAATAAATAAATAAATAAATTAATTAATTAAATAATATATTAGATGTTGCATGTGCCTCCATTATCAAATTGTGTATTGTCGTATTCTCTAGATTGTGATTTTGACTGGAGTAGGTAATCGCTGGCTTTGTGACGAAAGTAAACGGTATGACTTAAAAACAATCTAATTAAGATTCCGGAACAGTATTGGAAACCTCAGGAAACGGCGATTTCAGCGAAAGGGCAATCGGTTACTGACACATAAGCTAGAACGGCCCACGAAAACGGTAACAAGTTATCAAGCGCAACGGAAACACAAATTACCAGCGGTATCTACCAGCTACGGTCAAACGAAACAAAGGCAAATGAATTATAATTCTCGAAATGAAAATATCAAACGCTTACCTTTAAAACTAAACGGCTCGGTAACGGAAATCAAAATTCTTCTTCATACGAACTAATCTGTACACTTCTTTAAATAATTTTTCGGTTTCCGGTAGTCATAAAAATCGACTAGTCTTAAAATTCACGCTAACTAAGCGCGCTTCATTTGACACCAAACTCACGTCAAACGGATGATGTATACCAGTGTTTCTCAATCGGCCGGAGTGTACGAACAGGTAAAAGAATGTGGTCCGTACTCGCGGACCGGGGGGGGGGGGGGGTCTGGCGGAGAGTATCCCCTGGGCAGAGGGGGTCCATCAACCCCGGAACCCCCGAGTTGAAATTTCTAAATTCGAGAATCTAATTAACACCCATGATTACATAGAATTTCAGGTCAATCACAAAAGGTCTGGGATAATGAAGAATGTGATGATTCTAAGGATTTTAAGAATCTGAACATAATTTCCAGCCTTTTGTCTTGGCCATATTTACATACCTTACAGTTCTACCTCTAATGCTGGGATACAGCTGCTTGCTATTCTCATTTGGACACCCAGTACGATACAATACAGAAAATGGGGAGTTTAAGATTTATCTACCAATTAATTATAAGGTTTAAGGACTAAATTAAAAGAAAATGTACAATTTAAACACCCCTTACATGGTTGTTTGATAACTTTCAACAACATAATTGAGGAAATATGAATATCGTATGTCAATCTATGATATTCATAGGGGCCATTTTACCGGATTTTCTAAGAATGCAATGCTATTGTTTGCGTTTTGTCCGCCCGTCCGCCTGTCTCTGTTGAACTACTACTACATAGCACACATAGATATCAGATGCATTACTTTGTCTTTGAGAATAATTAGTTAAATTTCTTTTGTAACACTGTATTATGTTTTAGCACGTGCAAGAGGATGGAAGAAGTTTTTACCTATTTAACATTGACACAAGTGATAATGTCCGAAATTATAATCTGCACATGTCTTTATCTGGTTTCCTCGGTAAGTATACGAAATGTTTCGTTTAAAACGTAAAAGAATGCTAAGTTTCAAAAAGGGCACATTTGAAGCTTTCGAACCTTCGTATATTAAACATTTCAGTCTCATATAAGTATCAAAAATTAGAAAACCGAAATGTTTCAGTTGTACAAAAAAAATGGTTACTGAAAATGACGTCAAAAAGGCTAGATTGAAACACAAAATTTAATTCATATATTGATACAATCAGTTTTGAAAATTTTATTTCACAAATAATCACTCGGCTTGCCCACATTTACAAGAGACTCAAAATTTACTGGGTTTATAAACACAAGTGACACACTTTTTAAAAACAATATTACAAACAAAACAAAAGAATATTAGCTCCTTTTAATTATACGATAAGATGCGTTACGGCTTAGTTACATTTACAAGGGTTGAAGACCCCACTTGCATAAAATAAAATTGAACTTTTATGGAACTGGTAAAAATGTTACCGTAACGATTAATTTTTTTTACCCACGGCTAGCTCAGTAATAAAGAAGTTATAAAGCAGTAATGGTAATTTTAAAGAATGGTAATACAGATCAGTATTTTATTAGTAAAGTTTAAAATTATCGATCTCACGAGTCATCTAACTCAAAACAGTCTAGAGCCTGCACATATATACTATAGTAGAAAGCTTTTAGTGAAAATTGAAATCTAGAGCTATTGTAATTGCCGAGATCTCAGCGGACAGCCAGTCAGCCAGACAGTCAGCCATAACGAATATAATAGCGTATTTTTTTTAATATGCGCTAAAAATTGTATACCCTTTACCTTGTGCAAGTTTGACCTTTTTCTCTTGAAAATCCAAAACCTTATTCTTTTAAACATAAGCATGAAAATTAAATTGATTGAATATATTGAAAAAAAAACCAATTCCATTTTTCTTTTTTTACGATGTTTGGTTCATAAAAAGAAATACAAAAAAATGCAATCCCCATCTTGTAATCGTGTATCAATTCTAAACTTGTTCCTTATCTAAACCTATGAATGCTAAACAAAATTTTAACTAACCAAAGTCTTTTGTTTAGATCTAATTGGTATCAATACAAGTCTGCTTCATGCAATTGATGTTTGCAGGTCGGTTCCTTTAGGAATATTAGAATTACGTTAAACAAAATTGCTGTGCTCTGCAAGCCTGACTACGAATGCCGCAGACACCCTCACAACACAGTCTAGCGTTTATTCACTCACACAGCCTGCGTTTTTCTCGAAATGTACGTCATTATCGCTCCTATCTCTAGACATACTTTCGTTCACGTTTACTATGAAGCGGTACATGTGTAAATTGCCCCGTGTTGAACGAAATAAAAATTCGAATAAGGAAACTATCGATTCTAGAAAACGCTGCAATTAAGGTAACGCAATCCGTTTGATTTGTATCCAAATAACAATCGGCCTTCTTTAAAAAATTGCATTAATTTTTATTGCAAGTAATCAGAAAATTTCTTAAAAGGTCCGAATTTTGTAAATTGGTTAATGGAGTAAAATTCGGTTGCATTAAATAATTATGTTTAAACTCAGTTAGAAGGAACTTTCTTTTGAAATTGTATTGTCAGTTAAAGTGTTTTGTTACCTATAAGGTGGTTATCTTTTGTATAAAATTGCCATACATACCAATGTCTTAATGTTATTGATGGTTAAATAGGGTTGCTATAAAGAAACGTAGCCACGATATGGGGTTGTATTTCAGTACTCGTCGTAACCTTAAAACGTAAACAAAATGTAAGAGAAAGTGGAAGGATTTTTGTATTATTCATACTCAAATCAGTTCATTTTAAATTTTTATTGGTGGTCTCCAGTTAAATCTGCTCCAACCAGAGCGCCAAGTTTTGATTTTCAGGATTAAAAGATATGGTCAAATTGGTAAAGGCATCAGAATTTGTGTTTTGGAGCAAGCCGTTGGGTAAATAATTCGTGGTTGTAGTAGAAAGTTAATTTTATTTAGTTCCATCAAGGGTTTTCAACCTCTGTTTTGTAACGTATTGTTACACTGTGCAACTGGAACTGGACATGAGAGTTGGAGTGTAAAAAGATTCAAGTTATGGGGAAGTTTAAGGCCCAGTTAAAATTGCCGACTGGTTGCTGCAGTTTAATCAGTGATTAAAAATATGGGAATGAGAGAAACATTTTACCATATGATCAAAGGTGGCTAACATTTTAATTTTTTAATAATTGATTAACTTTATAGTGGGTTTACACAATCATTATCATTAGTTCACTATCACTAAATCATTAAGAAATAGCCAATAGAAACAATGGTTTGTTGTGCGTCGCTAACCAACGAAACCATATCTTCTTTCTATTGGCTAATAATCTAATGATAATGATTGTATAAACCCACCGTAAATCATTGTTCAATCCAGGAATGTGTTCATTTGTACTAATTCGCATTCGACACTCTATAATCGGAGATGAAATTTAAAGAAAATCGGTGCCATGCCGTTCTGCCACGGTCTCCCAAATCTAGTACCTTGATTTTAATTAGGTAATTACTGAAAATATACTTTTTAACAAGGGAGCCTCACAAGTTCTAGTGCAGGAATGTTTTGTAAAATTTTTACTATGAAGAAGAGCGTCGACCTAAACTATTTGTAAAAGTTACTCATTTTAGTAGATTTTAATCAAAAAGGTTACAGTGGATTATTTTCCATCTTTAATTGCTGAGAAAAATATAAGGAATACTTGAAAAGCTTTCCGATAAAAATTGCAATATCGTACGTATTTACGAACCTTAAATGGAAATCATATAATTATTCGAGTATTCGATCAATCGCACTTATAATTGATTTTACCATTTTCAGATACCGATTACCAGCAAGGCGTTCGCAACAGAACTGGTTTACTTGGTCGCTATAGAGCTACAGATTGGACTTTATTGCTTTTTCGGGAATAAGGTAACAATAATGGTAAGATTATACCACACTGATTGGTGTCGCAGTCTCGCCTAATTATGCTCGATTAGGGTGAAGATATTTCGCTGGCCTTATACGAGGGCGATTGGTTATTGGCGAACAGCTCCTTCAAGAAAAGTATGCTAATAACAATGCTACGTATGAAAAAGCCCATCTACTTGACTATGGGAAAATTCTCACCATTAACGCTGTCTACATTCGTTACGGTAACGTTTCGCATATATTTTGATAAAAATAATCACAATTTATTTTCGGTTTTAAAGTTGAACGCTCGTAGAACACGATTGCACGCATCGCGCGAAATCTTTTGTTTTTTGTAACCTTCAAACCAAGGTTTCCCAATGTCCTGAAATAGCATGAAATCACGAATTATTTGGTTTGGGATAATACATGTCTTGAGCTTTGGGGTGAAAATACGGCTATAGGTCAAATACCTAAGTACCTACCATGATTTCAATGAACTGATACAAATTAAATATTAATTTCGCCAACGTGTTGCCATCAGAGTGTCTTAACCTTGGAAATTGTGCACGGTAAATGTTAAAGTCGTGCTTCCAAAACTACATTGTAAAAAGTTGTATCTAATAAAATCATAGAAACTAACCCTCGACGTTATTCTTCATCCTGCGGTAAAGCTCTTGTCATATAGCAAGGAAATTGTTCATACTTTGGATTGTGGTGTCAAATGAGCCCGAGCTCAAATTCTTGGAAATCAAAATAAAAGTCATTCGTTTTATTTATGTTGTGTGTTTCCGAGAAGTTCTCATAAAAAACAATGCCCCTCTAAATCACTTATTATAGTTGACAGGTGGGTATCTATCTATTACAATTATTATGAAATTGATAATTGTTATTTTGAACCTTTTTACAAAAAAAAGTCATTTTCCAAAGTTCGATACTGATAATATGACCAGTAATAGCAATGGGTGAACGTTATCCCAAAATCCAAATTTTCCTTGCATGCCTAAAAATTTCCACTAACATTTCCTGGAATCGTTAGTTCAAATGCAAATTTTTTCCATTAAACGCTGTCAGTTTCTGTAAGTTTTTACAAAACCACCATGTGTTTCTCCTTATTAAAAAACACATCCGTGGATACCGCACATGTCCGCAGATTTACCTACGTTTGAAGTGTATTTCATTTTCATTGGCAAAAAGTTCGGACGATATTGTCCAAAGATTCGTGTTTTCCACACATCTTCACCTGAAGGGTCCATAAATTATTATTCTTTTACACCCTTAAATTGCATCTACACCTTGGCATTCATTTCACACATTTCTAAGAAGCGATGATTTGTTTCTTCGATCAAGAATTGAAATAATACATTCAATTCTTCCAGTAATCTTTGCTTGAACATTATTCCCCTTCTTCTGCATTCTTATATTGCATCTCCGAAAAAATATTACACGCTTTGAATTTCCAAAACTTATATCTTCAATTCATGACTTCAAGTTGCAGTATCAAACAAGTTGTAAATCAGCATATGCATGATTAAAGCGCATTTTTGGTAATGCAGGTCAGTATTTTATTAGCGAAGTTTAAAATTATCGATCTCACGAGTAATTTTGGCTGCGTTAAATAATTAATTTTATTTAATTTCAATTGACGGTACGTCTTCATTTTGTAAAACAAATCAGAAAGTATATAATAAGTTTTTATACTGGTAGCGCTATCTAACGGTAAAATTATAGCACCTCCGAAACCCATATCGAAATTATTTTCTTCAATTATCGATTTTCACAGTAATCTTACTCAAAATAGAGTAGTGCCTGCACATCTACACTATAGCAGAAAGCTTTTAGTGAAAATTTGAAGTCTCTAGCTATTGTAGTTGTGGAGATCTAACGCGGACAGCCGGCCTGCCAGCAATGACGAATATAATAGCGTATTTTTTTCAAAAATGCGCTAAAAATTGAAAAATAGAACCTACTATCTTCAATTATTCCACTAATCTTTACTCTTCTTCTGTATTCTTTAATTGTATGTACAAAAATGTGCACCTCGAGTATAAAAAATAGAAAATTCTTGTCTTCAATTTCCACTAATCTTCACACACTGTCTATTCTTCTTCATACATTACTTTGCATTCCTAAATTGCAACTACGCACAAATGTGAAAAACGCCTTGCTATACTCGTACATTTCATAAGTTTCTCAAAGCGACGATTTCTTCGGTAAAAAATAGAAGATTCTTGTCTTCAAATGCTTCCACAAATGTTTACTCAAAGGGTATTCTTCTGCATAAATTATCTCTTTTTCTTCATCTCTAAATTGCATCCACGCAGAGTGGTGCAACATTAAAAAAAACAAAAAATTCGAATCTTCAATTCAGCCATTAATCTTCACTCAGAAGCTGTTCTTCTCTCTAAATCAGTCTTTTCAATCCTTTAATTGCACGTACAAAAATGTGAAAGGCATTCATTTTACAAATTTTTCTCGACGCAAAACGATTTGCTTCATCGGCCAAAATTTAAAAAGCAGAAGATTCCTGTGTTCAATTCTTCTACCGATCTACGCTCGAAGGTTGCAGCTAGTGTTGCCGCGAGACGAGACGAGACGAGACTTTCGAAAGTCTCGTCTCGTCTCGTTACCTCGAGACGAGACCAAGTCTGAGTCTCGTCTCGTCCTGGTTCAGTCTCGTCTCGTCTCGTCTCGTCTCGTCTAGTCTCGTTTGGGCTCGCCTGGTCTCGAGACACTATCCAAATATAGTGTATGTAGGTAGAGCAATGAGCATATAGCATATAAAAGACCACGAACTACGAAGGCATGACAAGTAAATAATAGGAGTAATATAGTAGGTACGAGAGCCGGACGCATGGAACCAGTAGTGATAAGCTAACAAGATGAAATCTTTGTTACTGGATTCCTTGCAGCTTGAATAACACAAAATGAGTTTTCTGCCAGCCTTTTTCTGGCCGGAATGTTATTAAAAATAGGCACTTCCGGTGAATTTTTTTCCGCAAATTAAACCAAAAACCAAACCACCTGAAATTGATAACCGTAGGTTGAGGGCGATGGGTTTTAAGGAAAAATTCTTTTCTACCGAGTTTTGTCCAGCCGGAAATAGCGGCAGAAGCGGATTAATTGAACTGTTTTTTTGTGAATTGCTATACTCATAACACAACAACTGGAGGCCTCAAGATGGCCTCCGTGTCCGTGGGCACAATTAAACAAGATATGTACGAAGAATCGCATACGATTTTCAGGGAATTTTTTGACAGCTCGTAATCGGAAACACGACTTCTAATCCGCAGTGATCCTTGAACTCGTAGAAATCGATTCGCAAAAGTTTATCTTTTTTTGTTCTCGATTTAGACTATTCCGCTAAAACAGTACAAATAAATACAAACAAATTCGAGACCAAACGAGAGTCTGACGAGACTCATGCTTAGTCTCGTCTCGTCGAGACGAGACGAGACGAGACTGAACCTCGGTCTCGTCTCGAAAATTCGAGACGAGACGAGACGAGACGAGACTGAGTCTCGTCTCGGCGGCATCACTAGTTGCAGCCTTAAATTGTACCTAGTTGCGAAAAGCGATGACTTCGATATATGCCTCCAAAGTACAGTGTGCGAAAATTGAAAAAAAAAGATTCTTATCTTCCATTGTTCCACTAATGATAACTGTTTTTCATAAATTACTTTTTTTCTACATCCTTGAATTGCATCTAAGCAAATGTGCCTATAATCCTATAGTTTCCAGATGTGATGATTTGTTTCTTCTCTTCATAACGTGTACTATCCAAAAATTGAAGAATCGAAGATTCTTGTTATGAAGCCTTTGACTAATCTTCACTCGAAGATTATTCTTCTCTGTAATTAATCATTTTTCTTTTGTATTTATTTTGATTTTTTTAAATTTTCCCCCATAAAGATATTTAAAAATAGTACAGGTATACAAAAAAAAACATTTTTTGAAATATACTGAATCCTTTCGATTCTTAGTTTTTTTGGTTTCCTCGGTAAAATTCTTTAGATCCAAATTCTTAAGACTATTACGTTTTTTTTTCAAACTCCTCCAAATTTCCTCACAATTATCTATAAATCTAAAAATCTCGAGATCTTCTGAAACCATGTTGAAAAGTTTCTCTTGATTCCCTTGGTTCGATCCACTGATAATTGCGGCATATTTTTTTAGAAAAATGATCTGATGCATTTCTAACCATCATAGATTATTAAGAGGAGTCATCCAAATCGGATTCTTTAGATATTCGGAAAATGTGTTTTTTAATTGAACAGTAGATTTTCAGATATTTTGAAATAAAATAAAATTGTAGATAAGAAAATCTATAACACACAGCTACCCTCAATTGAGTTATACCAGAGCAACATTAAACATTCAATGCAAAAGAAAACTAACTACTACTACCAAAAAGACCAATTGCACCTGACGTTTATTAAAATTGGCAAATCAAATGAATTGAATTGAATGAATGAATGGTTTTTTTTGTACAGACTAAAAGCAGAAATCCGATTGTATTTTTACTTTTCCACAAGAAAACGTATTGATTTGCCTCAAAAAATTTTAGAAAATTTTTCAAAAATACTTTCCCATTTTTGGAGCGTTCTTTTTAAATTTGGGTCAAAGCTTCATGTGTACCTGCCGTTTTCTAAATAAGTATACGAGAACAGGTAAAAAAGTGATCGGACCTAAGCTCATTTTTTAAATGGATGCAATTCAAAAAGATTAATTAATAAATTGTTAGAGTACTATTGTAACCATAGCAAAATCTACCAATTCGGTTAAACCAATCAGCTCAATGATAAATTGGAACAATATCTTTATACAGTCACTGTAGTGCTTCTCAGCGGCGTCAATATTTTAAACATGCTTCCACACGGCGTCGTTTCAGCGGCGCTCCAAGTTGCTTGCGTTGATATGACGACGCGCCGCACACAATTGTGGTTCAGATTTTCCAGTTCAGTGATGCACCTGGACGAAGACATTTTGTTGCTTGCTTTGCTCCTGCTCCTGCACCGAAAAAAAACAAAGCGCGTAAAAAAGAAGTTTTTCTTTACCCCTTTATCACCATAATCCTTATGGGATGAATTAAGATTAAGATGGTTGTGGGTTGCTTTTCAATGCTGAATACTCCGTATCAATGTTTTTACCGCATTTTTTAAGAATTAAAAAAAGTGCTATTGTTTGCGTTTTATCCGTCCGTCCGGAGTTCTGCCATTTTGAACTACTTCGAGGGGAATGGTCCTGGAATTTTTTTGTAGTAGGTAGAAGGTACAAGCTAGAATCTATAATTCAACAAGTTAAAAAGTAATCGTAAACGATTTACATAAAGCGCATTTCCACTTGCATTCATTTCCCATTTATAAGATGCAACTTCTGTTAAAATCGTAAAAA